CATTTTTAAAAATGGCCGTAACTTGAAAAATTGAAGTCGGAATCAGCTCCAACTTTCTACATAGCATAAGGACGCCAATATGTATCAGAAAATGTAATAAAAAATGGGAGTAATTTCGGAGCCATATTTTGGAAAAAACCATGGGCTATAGTACAGGGTACTTATCAGATTTTGGCCCATTTTTAAAATGGCCGTAACTTGAAAAATTGAAGTCGGAATTACATCAAACTTTCTACATAGCATAAGGACACCAATATGTATCAGAAAATGTAATAAAAAATGGGAGTAATTTCAGAGCCATATATTGGAAAAAACCATGGGCTATGGTACAGGGTACTTATCAGATTTTGGCCCATTTTTAAAATGGCCATAACTTGAAAAATTGAAGTCAGAATCAGCTCAAACTTTCTACATAGCATAAGAACGTCAATATGTATCAGAAAATGTAATTAAAATGGGAGTAATTTCGGAGCCATTTTTTGGAAAAAACCATGGGCTATAGTACAGGGTACTTATCAGATTTTGGCCCATTTTTAAAAATGGCCGTAACTTAAAAAATTAAAGTTGGAATCACCTCAAACTTCTACACAGAATAAGGACGTCAATATGTATCAGAAAATGTAATTGAAATGGGGGGTGATTTTGGAGCCATTTTTTAGGAAAAACCATCAGATTTTGAAAAATGGCTGTAACTTAAAAAATTGAAGTCGGAATCACCTCAAACTTTCTACACAGCATAAAAACATCACTATGTATCAGAAAATGTAATTAAAATGGGGGGTGATTTTGGAGCCATTTTTTGGGAAAAAAAATCATGGGCTATAGTACAGGGTACTTATTAGACTTTGGCCACACAACCACAATCAAACAAATTTTCTGGGGCAGCTATTTGTACGTTCTCTATAATTAATTATTAATGAATGCATCATTGCAACCCTTGCATTACATTAAACACTTGTTGTGTATCACTGTATCGTGTAATATAATTAATTGTTGCGCACTTCTCGTAAACTTTTTAACTGCAAAATTAATAGTTAATTTTATAAAAAAAACATGTCACGTAATGTAAAATAACAATTAAAAATTAAAACTACTGTCAGAAAATGTATGTAAAAGGAATACACAATAGTATAAAATTCGCTTAAAAATTACAGTAAAAGATACAGTAAAAATAACTATTATTATTACTGTTTGTTAATTGAGAAGTTTCCATACATGCTGTTCATCTGAAGGTACATGTCAATCACATCATATATGGAAGTATACTGCTCCTGTAAAGACATAATATCATTAATACACTAGTACCCACTCATATATCTAGTATATACCAGTGTAGTCACAGCTCCTGGTTTACTCCTTCTCACAGCTTTAGTCACTTGAAACACATCCACTACACCTTCTGCCTTACACTGTTCTAGACCAATACTCACTGAACAATACACTCCTGAACGACTCACTGTATCACTACACACACACACAATAATCAATTACTCATCATTAGTCTATCAGTATAACTCTCTCTCTTACCTACAGTGTACCACTACTGGTCCTCCTCCAATCTTTTGTTGTCTGTGTATAACATCATCAATAACTTGTAGGACAGTACGTGGTTCCCTAACAATTCCATCTTGAGGCCAATCTGTCACTTGCAACTGCAATACACTTCTGCTTTCTTTTTCAGAGGACACCTTAAACATTCTTTCGGTGTAACCATTTGATTTTATCTCATTAGTGACTTCTACATAATACTCTCCAAATTTTTCGAGAGTTGACCAATATGGAAAAGAACAATCCTACAATGTCGTAGTAATATAAATTTTCTGTGAATACTTACCTCTTCTCCACAGAGCATGACAATAGCAGACACTTTATAGTCCACTATCATCTTCCAGAAGTCTCTGGCAGTATTTTCCATAGGACTCTGAGCTATAATGAATGCCCTCTTCTCACGGTAACCCTGTAATGATCATACAGTATTATGTGTGTTACTTATAATGTGACTAACATTAAGATATGATGCATTAATGTAGCCATTGGCTTCTTTAAGAGCTACAATAAACTTGTCAGCTATAGTGAGAAGATAATAATATTTATTAAGATATAATGGTCTCTCACGTGGTAGGTATTCATTTGATCTGTTCTTGCTGGCGTGAGCTTTGGCAGAATTACAGTGTATATCATTAGGATCAGGAGTCACTTGCTGCAGTAAACCAAACTGTGCTGCCATTCCTGTACTGCGTGTCTTTGGATTAATTGCCTTCAGTTTCTGTACTGTTGACATGTAATTCTCAGTTGGTATCTCTGTTTCCCCACAAATGATTGCCTCTAGCACAGCATCATGAAGAAACACATACTGATCCTATACAATGTTAATATAAATGAATGAATGTATGTACTCATGTCCTTACTAGTGTCTGAACCATCTTCATTCTCT